TCCTTTCCTATATACATTTATTAATGAGTTATAATTTTTTAAGCTACTGTAACAGCCAATCCGGTTCTAGATATATCCGCCACTGTACATGCCTAATTAACAAATATATCCGGTTATTTTCTTTAGACCGGTTCTCGTAAACACTGGCATTTTTGATCAGCTGCGAGTCGATATGGGTAAAGAGTGGATTCTAATACTCTTTATTCAAGAACTTCTTAAAAGGCAAAGACAGAACCAAGACAGAGCTGCACACATGAAAACTACTTCAAAAAGGAACTTAACCATTGAAAGGGTGTGGCCAGAAGTAAATACAAGAGTGAACTACCCAATAAAAAGGATTCTTGTAGATTTGGAGGAAAGAGGTGTTATTGACATGACTAATGAACATGTGATGTTTTGTGTGTCGTGGTTTACCTGCGAGGTTGCCAAAGTAGGAATGGAGAGATTCGTAGCGTCATGGAACTCGCATAAGATTAAGGRTACTTAGTTTACACTCGATTTTTTTCCATAAATATCGTGTGGATTTTATAGTAACTATATGTTTTTTCCTTACAGGTAAAGCTGGAAATGGGATTCCTTCTCACAGAAGACAGCAGACCAATTTTTTGAGTCYACTTCKAGAGTGTCATGTTCCTAACGAAGAAACTGCCGTGGCATTSWTTGAAGCTCAAGGTGGAAAGCTTCAGCSACAGTGGAGAGTTGGCGTTGATCAATTGTCCAGTAACAAACCTCAACAACAGATGAGAGAACGTCTTTTCAACCGAAAGTATTCATTTGAGAATATCTTCACAGAASTTGTTAGGGGAAATCCCAGGCCATTCAAAAGAGGACTAAAATATTTCATGAAACTTACATCGGCCTTAGCTTCGTAGACCACTGAGAATAATCATATTTCTCAGTATATTTTTTCTGCCCTTAATACCATGACCATCTTTAAAAACATTGCAAGGTCAAATCCGGTTTGAATAGCGCTTTCTAGTCAAACTACGAAGACTCAGATGCCCGTGCTGTGAAGTTAAAATGCCCTCWATATACAGAAAATGGATGGACATTTGATGCGCCTGCAATGGTTTGGATGAAATTGATGCCTCCCCCCTAAAAAAMCCCATAAATTATGAACGGTCCCTAATTCATAGATTAATAMATATTTTGACAACATATTTTGTAAAAATCTTAATCATGAAGGCTTTTATTCAAGCTGTGAGACTACATATAACATCTTACACTGCACTATAACTGATGACCATTATCGGCCTATCAAGCAATGCCAGATACCAGAAAATAAMCAACCTCGTTCAGTCTGATCTCGGTGTACAACTCAGACCTGTATTTGTCTCCTTTTCACATAAACAAATGTTTATGTAAGTGTTCAATAGTCTTGGTTTTTATACGTTCTTATAGCATCACATAACATTTCCATATATAGAGAGATATTTTACAGTAAAACTTTGCAAGTGAATATATTAGAAAAACAACTACTTATTAACTGTCAAACTAAACTCAATTAGTAGACAAGACGAACGTCCCATCAATGCGTTTCTGTGTTTTCCGACAAAACCTACTGCGCCGCGACAGAAAAATCATTAGAARACACGGGGTTTAAGAACGGCTAGAAATAATAGCTAAGCAAAGGATTCGCAATACAACTTCTATCTCCTTTTAAACACAAAAAAGCAAAAGTTTGAATGTTTCAATCGCTGTCTTGTTGCCCTGTTTCTTCCGGAATTATAGCTACTTTGTTCGATAGCTCCTGCATTC